AAATAAACATTAAAAATTTTTAAAAAAGAAAAACATTTAGCTCAAAATTGGTTTTAAGAGTTGACGTTGTCTTTTTGCAAATGTCTAATTCACTCAACAATAAAAACACTGTAAGTCATTTTTTTTTAATTAGGCAGGCTAGAATACTTAAAAATATAATGTTTTATGACAAAAGTACATATTTTTATTTTAAAAGCACATATTTAAATTACAAGATTTATAACAAGAATGTATTTTGATTTAAGTATTTTTTAAATTTACCTTTTGTTAAAAAAAATTTACCTTCTGTTCCTGCAAAAACTGGTCTGCTAACTTTTTAATATTTTCTTCATGCTGTGCTCTTAACTCCTTGATCTGTTGGCCACACTGAAAACTAAATTACAAAGTCATTCTTTTAGGCTATATTATCTTGGATTGACTTCTCAAAGTTGTCTAGCAGTTGAAAATATACATTTGTAAAGCATTCAGTTAGCAGCAGAGTGGACACAAAAGGACAAAGCAGGCATAAAAATAGATCACAGTCAAAATTCCTAGAATATTCGAATCTTTAATAGAGTATAAAAAATACTGATAAGGCTAATTAACAGAAATTAGAAAGATAAAAACTATTTTTATAAATCTTATTTATAAAGAAATAATTATCAAAGCCAACTTCAGTCACAGAAGAGAAAAAACAGAAGAGAAAACCATGAGACCAAAATACAGTAATAATTGAGAAAACCTAGAATTATAAGAGGTGATAAGGAGTGGCAGCAGACGATTCATCCAATAGTTCTCATTTTCAACACAATACTAAGAGTCTATGAACCATAAGAAGAGCTAGAATGGAAGAAACCAATAAATAAGACAGAATGGAGTCATCAAGAGAAAATGTGAAAGAACCAAATAGATAAAGATTGGGAATTTCCACTGGACAAGTGGTCTAAGAATACAAATATATCATTCATGCAAAAAGAAACAAGTAGTTAAAAAATTTACAGAAAAATGTTAACTTTAACCATTAAAAATGAAATTAAACTTCCTATATGTATATATGATAGTATTTTATTCCTATACTAGCAAAATTAAGTCCAAACTGTAGAAACTAATGTTGGTGGGGCTATGGGGAAACATCGACATTATAAATTAGTACAACCATTATAGAAAGCAATCTTTCACATATGTGATAAAAGCAACAAAACAATAAAAAATTCTGTCTCAGGAATTCTATATTTGAGAATATACACCAGTGAAATAACATAAGAGGGAAAAATCCTTTTTGCATAAAGATTTTTATAGCTGATATTCATAACAGTAAGATAAGGAAAACTACAACAGTCCAGCAATTGGGAGAGATTAAACAAACTTTGGTACATTAACATGCTGGAATAATATATTACCTCTGAATATGCTAACTCTTTAATCCTATTGATACGATGAAAATTATTGAATACTGTCAGGTTAATATACTGATAACCTATAAGAGTAACAAATCAGAAATGGATAAACGGTGTTCTAAAATATGGTGAA